CTACTTTGCAGCACTGGGGCCCTGGGTTCAATTCTGGACCTGGGGTGCTATCTCTGTGGAGTTTGGAAGATCTTCCTGTGTTGGCCTGGGTTTCCTCCCTCAGACTGAAAACTGGTCAAATTGTTTCTGGGAAATTAGCCCTGGTCTGTGTGTGCCTTGTAATGGACTGGTGTCCCATGCACATGCAGGGTGTACCCTGCTTTGCGCCAGTTGTTTGCTGGGATAGACTCAAGCTCCCCCCGGGAAGGAACAGTTAGAAAATGGATGAGTGTAGGTTACTCAAATGATCCCTACCTAATAAGAGGTCCATATGTTACTTCACAAAGGCCTTAGGAATCCAAGGTAATATATGTACATGGATTAAGAACTGGTTAACAGACAAACAGCATGTTATCATAAGGGCCATCTAACATGTTATTGCAACAATGAGAATAGTAATGTGCCACAGTGATCTGTTATAGGGTCATTCAAAAATCTAGATTTTGATACAGTTTGCAAACTAGCCAGATTTGTTGCTAATCCTATAATAAGGGGACTGGCAAATGCAGAAACTACAGCAAGAGACTTCATAAGGCTTAGACATTTGGCAAATGAAATTCAAAACTGATAAGTACAAAGTGATCTGCTCTGATAGTAGAAACATACACTATACGTATAACACTTCACTTCTTATTCTTCAGTTTTACCAGTCTAACTTGGCTTTCAGTTTGAAGTCAGTTAACTTAAGTTTTCAGTTAAGTCTTACTTAACTGGCAATTCCAACAGTAGACATTTTAATTATTCTTTAGATGATCAAAATAATTTCATTCTCTGTTTGAAGACAATGTGATAGCTGATCAGGCACCAGTTATCTGATAAATGGCAGTTATGAAATACAGATTTTCACGTATGCAGATCCTTAATGGCAAGAACCATATTTCAGAACAAGGTGGCTACAAACAAGCCTAAAATTTTATTGTCAATTTGTTTTGAAGTTAAATGACATATTTGGTCCCAGTTTCCTACATACCATTACAGTGCTCTGCTCATCTGTAGAGTGGAAGCAGGTAAAATATTCTGCTCTGTTCTTTGCAGAACTGGGTATAACACCCACTCAGCAGAGAAAACAACCTTGAAAGGCTTCAAAAGAATGCACTTTTTATATGTTGTATACAGTACATTTAATAGAGGCAACGCATTATAGGAAAACCTTCAACTGTCATGCTCTTAAAAGAACATGAATCTACAAAAAGTACAACTGGAGCTCTGAACCATGATAAGTCAGAATGTGGCATGCAGTGCAAGCTGTTTGTATCATAAATAGTTTAACTTACTGTATGGTTGCACAGCTGTGATACTGATGAATACAGCAACTGTCACATTTCCAGAATACATATGTGATGAACGTTTTGTATCTTGAGAAACTATTAGCTCCTGCAAGGCAAGCTTTAAGACCAAATTAAATCAACCAAATGGATATGTCTAAACGTCTATGCTTTGCATCATTTCTTGAATTATCCAGAACTCATAACATTTCATTTTTGCATCTACATTTAATTTAAGGCAGCACTTAGGATCGTTCAAGTGAGAGTCCAAATGAAATTTATTTCTGTACCGTGCAGTGGAGTCCTGTTATTAACACATTGTGCCTTTCAGGCAGAAGACCAACACAGTAACTGCTAGTTCAGTAGAAAAAAAAACAAAAACACAAGTGATTTTCTTGAGTATGGGTTTGTGTCATCATGTAAAAGGCTAGCAAATCAATGGATTGTATTGTATTAATTGTATGTGACATGTCCAGTCATGCAGAAGAAACAGGCTGGAAGACAAACCAGTAGCTGACAGCTTGGAGAAATAGAAATACTTCTTGTTTTCCTCACGTGGGAGAGTATGTGTCACATTTGAAAGGTGGCCTTAGGTCACAAGGTTTTTTTCAGACCTGGAGTCCTCTGCTTCATCATTTAAATTGTGATATTTTTTCTTTATTGCTCAGCTGTAGCTCTTATAAATTTGATTTAATTTAGTGGTGTGACTATTAAATCATCATTTAGATCAGCTTGATGGTTCTCGCTTAGTTTTTTCTTCAATCCTTCATGGCCTGTTGGGCCTGGCAAGTCCCGCCAGTAGAAACTCTGAATGCGGGCTCCTGGTCCGGCGGGACTCCAGACTCACGTCAGAAGAGGGGACTGCAAAATCGAGGTGAACACCGCCCAGAGTTTGCCTCTGAAAGAGCCAGATGTGAGTTGTGCGCTAATAAAAAAAAGTCTAGGCCACATTCGAGGTGTGTTCACTGCAGTCTTCCTTTGCCTGAATGAAAAAAAACAAACTGCTCTTTTGAGTTTCACCACACATACAGAATATAACATGTTTTTTTTATTTGAACTCTTGAGTCATTGTATTAAAAAGGTACAAATGATATTTTTAATTTTCTAATAAAACAGTTGTATGTTCTGTATCTTGTTGGTTTGTTGACATGAGTATTTTATGAATCGGAATATTCGATACAGGTGCTCAAAGTCCTGTTGGGACGTCTTAGTCCCGCTACTTGTAAATATTGCTGAACAACAGGAAAAACTATTTTGAGATTTTTTTACACAAACTACAATTCTACCAATAAAGGATTAAAACCAAAGTAGTATAATGGTTGGCAACAGTGGGAATTTTAAATGTTTTTGAATGTTTGTTTTATTCCGTACTGTAAAACATGTTGGCATTTGTTGCAAATTGTACTACCAATTTTAAATGGTTTTTAATAGATTCCTTTTCATTGGACCAAAAAATAGACTACACAGACAACAATTCTTGTAAACTTTAAGTAGGTATTCTGCTTAGCATTGCTAAACAAAGCCAATTACAGATGCTTTAACTACAGTATGCAGGTACTCAGTGAGTGAGACTATAATTTGATTATGTTCTGAAGGTCCATCAAGTAGAGTATTGTGTAGATTAGAAGATGCATATCCTTCCTGATAAAGAACTCAGATTCAAGTCAGGTGATCATTTTTGTCATGAAAGGGTCTTACTGTCAGCTCCTAAAAACTGGGTTTATGCTGACTCGTACCTTAAACATGTATAGATTTTAGTTGTATTTATTCTCACAGTATCTTATATTTCCTTTATTGTTTTTCATGCACATGGCTGAAAAAGAGGATATGAAATTAACAAAGTCGTGGTCTCACATGCTTCATGGGCTGTAATATCTTTTCCAGGGAAGATCATTTCAGGCTAAATGAGGGAATTTTTCGTTGCTGTTGCTTTCTTAGGCTTCTTTAGCAATGTAGATATGTTAAATTGCTTTTAAAAGGCCAGTGTAATGAAGGGTGATCAATGCTAGTTGTTAAGGAACTTTATACTCACAAAAGTAAGCTGACAAACCATAAAAGTTAAATTTAGAAACTTAAGTTTTTTTTTTTGCTCTCTCTTATGTAGAATCTAATCTAGCTCCTGTAAGGTTAGCAACCTCTGAGACACTTACGAATTCAGTTTCTATGCAGCTACAATTTAACACAACATTTCAGATGTCAGAATTTTAAGTAGAAAAAGAATTGTACTTAAAAATTAAATAGAAGTAATTAAGAGTTGATCCTGTTCCCTTCAGCAGAATATATTGTATAATCAGAATATGATTTTAGTGAATTTTGTTAGATGTGTCAAGTGAAGTAGAATCAGTTGTGGAACTGAGTATTATACATGCAAAAGGGGCACTCTCAGGATATTAGGACAAGGCTTTTGTACTTTATACTTTTCAGACCTTTTCTTTTGCCTTTTTCTTTTCTACCTATTACTTGATGTGTGTAGTAGATGAACCCAGAAGACAATAGAGCTCTTGTATTTTTAATTGGCACTGAAAATGTCTCCATGTGTGTTTGTGTAGCAGTTCTTTTGCCAGGTGATACTAAGTGTGTGAGTTTTGTCTGGCTTGTCACTTTGCATGTCCAGTCTGTTTAGGTTTGCTTTGTTAACACTTGTTAAAGCTGAATGTTGTGTTTTGTCCGGAAAAGGTGCGTCATTTTATTTCTGCAGAGGTCTCATTCCCAATAAATAAAATAAAGCCTGGTAGAATTGTCTTTTGTAAGAATACCAGGCTTGCTTCCCCAGTGGGTCTTCCGTGGTCACCCATTACTTGATGAAGTTGTTTTTTAGCACTTTTATGCTTGGCTTGGAAGTTAATTTGGCTTTTTCAGTTTTGATTAGTATTTAAGTGAGAGGCAAGGAAAAGGTTTATTAAATGACCCTTTACACAGTCTGATATCTTAAGAGGTATTGAAGAGAGAAAAAGCTTGAACTTTCTAAACTTATTGATTTAGATATTCTAAGGACAACAGTCCTTTTAAAAAGCATTTTTAAACTCCAGTAATAGAGCTTTTCTGAAGCTGTAGTGGGAAAACAGCTGCCAAGGACACTCTCGGTTCAGAGTGAGTTCCAAGTTAATGGCATTTATATGAATATTACATTGACTGTTAGAACATCTTTTGTGCTTTATTGCTTGCCACAGAAAGTTTATATATTTGTTGAGATGTTGTCTAATGTTGAGATGTGGCCTGTTTCATTAGGAATTAGGCTAGGAAACAATGATTCCAGTTATGCACTGTTCATTTTTTTAAAGGAGAAATGGTTTTTGATACTGTGTACTATTGACTTCACTTTGCACAGGTTTCATTTACAAGAATCTCAGTCCACCGTCCATGCTTTCTGTTGAGAGCAGCAAATAATTTCGGACGAACAATTTTAAGTTGTCACTTTTATTTATTTTACTGTAACGGTTTTGCTGCTACATTGCATATTTTAATGTGATGTAAGTGCTCAAGTTTGGAAATGTGGAAGATGAATAAATTTAGAAAGGGTTTTATATGTTTGCAATACCTGTTTCTGGACATTGTGTGTAGACGGCGAATGTGACCCTGTGACACTTCCTGTCCGCTCCGGTCATTCTGGACTATCGAGCTCTCTGGTTCTCCAGATCTGACTGCTTCTTTGCCTTGCTCATGTCTCCCTTTTTTGGGTTTCCTGTGTCTCTCCAGTGGGGGACTTCGATAAGATCTGGCGGGAGCATTGTGAGGATGAGGAGACGCTCTGTGAGTACGCGGTGGCCATGAAGAACCTCGCCGACAACCACTGGGCCAAGAGCAGTGAGGGCGAGGGACGCATCGAGTGGTGCCGGAGGTACGACATTTCTGCGAAATACTGTCCCGACCGCGAGGCAGATTCTGTTTTTCAGACTAAGAAATGCAGTCTTTTAGTACAGAAAATATTTAGTAGTTTTAGAGCTTTTTAGGGAAATCGGATTGACCCCCACTTTAATTTCCATCTGTACTAAAGCCTTAGTTGGAAGTTGCCGGTGTTAGCAGTAAATAACTTTGATATCCAAAATGGCATTTTACTTCTTCACTAAGGAAGATTCAGGAATTGCATTAAACATTCTAGACCCTAGCTGAAGATTGCAGGTTAGAGAGGCCAGAGTTGTGGATTTTTCACTACTGTGTACAATAGTGGATTTTAAATGAAACTGGAGGTTTTTTTTTCTTTTTTGGCTTTGGAGAATAGCCATGAATATTTTCTTTCTTATTCTTAAATCCCTTGTATCTTGCAGATCCTACTGAAAGGATTTGGCACGCTGAGAACCTTTTAAGTGTATGAGTAGGAGAAAGATTTAGCAAGGCTACTGAGAAGACTGCAGTAAATAAATAAGAACATTCATTCCTTAAACAGATTTTTTTCCCTGCTCCTATAAAGAAAAGGCTTAAAAACAGATCAACATTTCATAGATTTCATTAGCTTGCTAGGTCATTTCTCTTCATAAATGAAGCAGTTAAACATTTTCCTAAAATTAAGTTATTTCTTATGTTTTAGGTGAAGTATTAACTGTAGTTTATTTTGTACTTTTTCCCTTTTCCTTACATTTTTTACCATAAAATTATACTGATCCTAACAGGACACTTATCGCTCTGTTTATGCATGCATGATATTAAACATTAAAGTGTATGAATTCTGGATATTGATTAAATGTTCTTTGTTGTCATTTTGAATAATTGATCGTTAATGACTGCAATATACTCAAATGACTCTCACTGTTGCTTAAGTATTGAATCTTTTCATTAAGTGCAAGAGCCTGGGGTGCTCTTGTGATGAGGCAGTTTCACCTGTTGAACAGTACTTGATGAAAATTAAGGAGATACAGAAAGGAACTAATAAGCTCCACTTATCAAGAAAGCTTTGCCTTCATGCTGATGTTGGGCGCCAGACTAATTCAGGGCACTGTCAATCACCGTCTGGTTGTTCACAGCAAGCAGTTTCTGACTTGGCAAGACACTGCGGTACAACAGTCCATCAATGACATGTCACGATCTGGCATGGTGTGATGGGCTGGGCAGGAATGTCTAGTCACTACTGAACTCTACTTGTAGTGATTGATGGCAACCTGAGTACACAGTGCTTCATTGATCAAGTCCTGGACCCTTACTTGCTGCTTTGCCCACGGGCTCATCCTGATATGACAGCATTCCGGCAGGACACTGCGAGATCTCATGCTGCTTGTTCAACTACTTTTCTGAGATATGAAAATATGATGGTATTGCTGTGACTAACCAGACCTGAGCCTCGTTGAACATCGATGACCTAAGATGACATGTGGTGTAGGACTCAGAGACAAGTGAGCAGGGATGTGGTTGTCCAGGCTATACGAGAGGAATGGGACAGAATCGCACATGACCACGTCTGCAATCTGGCGCATTGCATGCATCGCGGATGTACGGTTTGTCTTGCTTTTAGTGGTGGCCACACACCTGCAAAGTGTATAGTAGGTTTCTATTGAGTAATCAACACTGTTGATGACAGATGTTAATCGGCATAATGAATGAATTTACCTGTGTTTTTCAATATAATGTTATAGAATACAGCATGCTATGAAAAATAGTCCTTTTTTGTATACTGTAAATGCAACAAATTCATGGTTATTAAAAAAAAAAACAGTTTCTGTTAATGCTCAGTATGATTTTACCTCTTATATAACATTGTGGGACTCTTCATCTGCTTTGTGGGATATAAGCAAATCATGGACTGTTTCCAGTGATTTTATATATATAAATATACAATATTAATATATACTGTACAATGTATTACCTTTGTAAGAAAACACAAGGATGATTTTTTTGTCTTTCTTTCTCGTCTGATGTACTTTTTCATGTTGCATAACACAAACTACATACAACCAGAGACGGTTTCATCAGTAGATTTGATCTGGGTCACAGTGGCCCTTTTGTTATTAATGGAATTTTTGGCCCAGTATCACTAGTGACATTGAGGCAACATGTGGTTATAGTTAAGCAATAGATAAAACCAGTCAGGAGCTCTGCAGAAGACTGAGATTTCTCTCTTGCATTTTGTTTTTACAGTAAATGTTTATTTCTTCACTAAGTGCAAACTCAGAGTTGGTCAAAACATAGCCTTAATACAGGAAATTGGTTTTTTTATAGTCACATGTAACTTATCTGCCCTTGAAGTTAAAATGTATCCTTCAGTTAATCTTAGGATAGAATTTACATAATGTGATGTATTACTGTCATACTATGTTAGATCCCCGGTTTTTCATGTCAGAAGTTCAGTAAACTAAAATATCACCACCTCTCCAAACAAACATTTTGAGTATGGGTGAATACCAAACATTTAAACAAAATTGAGTAATTTGCTTTTAACATGGTGGAGATGTTACTAGCACTTTCTACAGTGAGACAATCAGTCTTGATACACTCATTACAGTTTTGTACCAATTAAAAAATAATGAGAAAGTGCTTCTCATGTGATCACTAATTTGCATAATTCAGATGTTTATACAGTATGTTAGTTATTTCACAATCAGTCTTGAAAGGGCAAAGAGTAAAGAGCAAGAAGGAGGCTCACACAACATTTTGAAATGTTGAATAAACTTTTTTATACAGTGGTTGAAGCCTCTTGATCACCACACAAACCTATGTAGACATGCTGTCGTAAAGCCTCTTTTTGAACGTGTTCTCTAGAATAAATATCCAATTACTAAAGTGAATGTTTTCTAATATTTTCTATGCTTTCCTTACCATCTCTTTCTGAAGAGCAATAGCAAATTATGGTTTACCAGGATAAAGTAAATAGTATTTAATTTGTAATTAAATGTAGTGTAACATGTCATATTAATAACAACTCACTTTTCCCTACTTATTTGTATTTTTTACCATTGCATGAATATGGACCATAATAAGTGCATCATTTTTTTAAGCTTATAGTAATCTCCTGAGTTGTTATTTTTACTTTCAGGAAATATAAAGGAATATTGAAGCCAAACAGCATAGAAACTCTAGATAGCCTTTATATCAATAGCATTTTAATCTTGAGAAGCTGATTAACGCAAATAACTCTGTAATAACTACAATGAATGTGTGGATAATTTGAGACAGTTGAAATTATTAAAAGTCAGATTACAAAGCAAGACATTTATGGTAATGGTTATTCTACAGCTTCATCTTCTGTAAAGGAGATTTTAGAGATGCAAACAGAGACATGCTCCTCAATATGGAGTAGCCTATTTTGAAAATACTAGTAAGTGGCAGTTTGACTTATGTGGTGCCTCTGATCCAGTATATACAGCTCCTAGTGCAGTTGTATTTTTTTCAATTTACCTAGATTGTTTCATTGTAGGCTGGGATAAAAACCCCACACTATCACAGGCAAACTCATTCAGACAACAGCAAATATAATATTGTGAGTCCCCTTTGTATTACAACTGTTTTATATAACTTGAAGGATCATGCCTTTTAGATCCGTAGAGTGAGAGAAAGAAAGATACTATGTAGATCTTCATCCTTGTTGTGCTATAATATGACTGAGTTACTTTTGACACCTAAGATGTAAGTCATGGTTTCTTTCTCACTTCACTTTAGACATCCATCATAATCTTGATTATTGAAAGAAAGAAGACCCATGGTACCATGAACAGTGATCTACAAAAGGATTTGATAGTTTATGGTTAATCTGTAGTAGTGTAATTAACACAATGATAGATCTTTAATCATTAAAGACTTTTAATCACTTTCTCCAAATTATGTAGTGTGTGTAAACCGCCTATATTTTAGTTTTTTTTAATTATTTAAAATGCTAAACTGCATGTTTTTTAGGCAAAATATGTAATTGTTTATGCTGAAATAAGTATTCATCAGTCATCAGATCTCTTGTGCAAGACATGGAAAATTAACCATAAGTCACATGCGAGTGTAAAGTAGGTTACTGGAACAATGACTTATGAGACATGAAATAGGTCCAGGAATGAGTGATCAGAGTCATCTGTGCTCCAATTACAAGTAAAAACTATACAATTCACAGTACAATCAAGAGATGTACCTGCCTTGTTTCTCTGTTATCCATTTTTGAGTTTTAATAAGTAAACCACAGTGTCGAAGAACATCACATGATTTTAAAGCCCTAAATGTTAAACTTAAAATGTTTTGCTTATGTTTTGCTACAATATGTTCATAAAGTTATCAGGAAAATGTTTTTGTAGCCAGCGCTTTAGTTTTTATTGAAAAATCATTACACATATAAATGTATTATGCTGATTAACATTTGTCATCAGCAAATAGGTCTACTGTGAAAGTCACAAGCTAATAGCATAGGTGATCACAAGCATCACAAGAAAATAAAGGCTGCAAATGAGAGAGTAAATGAGTATCTTTTTCGTTTTATAGATTAGTATCTAAGCAAGTAAACCATTTTGTCCAGCTATTTCTGAACCGTCATGCTGGGATATCTGTTACAGATATCCACAGTTTTTGTGTAAAAAACATAATCTTCAGCTGAAACAAATAACATTTTCGTGTCCAGTTGTGACCATGTTTTCTTTGCTTCTCTTCCGAGTGTGAAATAGTACCCTTGATTGACCCATCTACATTGTCGTTTAGAACAAATCTCCTCTTGGCCTCGTTTGTTCTAGGATTAAAAGATTTTTCTCTCTTAACCTGTTTTTATGATAATCCTCTGAGATTAGGAATCATTCTTGTTGCTCTTGTTGCATTCTCGTTTGAACTTTCTATTTTATAAAATCTTTTTTGCTGCGCACTTATCAGAACTGAACATAATACTGCAGCACAGCACCTCCTGGAACCTCACTTTGTTGCCCATCTTGCCAGAGTTCATCCTGTCATGGTGACTTTCTTGCAGAGTGACCCGGGTCATTGTGCTGCTCATGATGACTGCTCAAGCATCCATGACACCAGCCTTCTTGGCCTGTTTGCTAGACTTGAGCTCCATTGATCATTAGCAGGATGAACTGGGATGGAAAGTGGCGTCTAGGGCTCATAGACCAGTTAGCAGGCCCACGTTTGTAGTTTTGTAAGAGGAATGAGGCAGAATCCCACAAGATCACATCCGCAACCTGCTGCAAAGCATAAATTGACCATTAACATCTTGTAATGCCGCAAGCTTGTGACCTTCACACTAAAAGTCCTGTTGATGACAATTGTTAATCAGCATAATAAATTTGCCAGTGTTGTATCTGCTAGAAAATGCAAAAATCAGTGTACCTGCTACAAAAAGTTTGTAACTTTTCCTGATGATTGTTGGGTAGTTTTATTTGTACAGAAAATTGACTTTTTATCATGTCATTTGCCAAACCGCTTTATACCATATAGTGTCATGGGAAGCTGGAGCCTACCCGGCAAGGAACAAGCGCAAGGCAGGGTACAGCCAGTCCATCGCAGGGCAAGTGCAAGCCAGTCATACATGGGGACAGTTTGGACTTCTCTTATACTCTTATCGAGACCTGCCCAGGGATCTTTAATGACCACTCACGAGTCAGGACCTCGGTTTAAGATCTCATCTGAAAGACGGCGCCCACTACAGTTTAGTGTCCCCGCCACTATACTGGGGCATTAGGACCCACACAGACCGCAGGGTGGATGCCCCCCGCTGGTCCCACTAACACCACTTCCAGCAGCAACCAGTTTCCCAGGAGGTCTCACATCCAGGTACTGACCAGGCTCAACCCTGCTTAGCTTCAGTGGGCAGCCAGCAGGGTGATATGGATGCTGACTTTGACTGTTTGTATGTTTAGCCTATATTCAAAGATTAAAATGGATGTATTGGGCCAAAAACTTTTTTTTGCCCATGTCTGATAATGATCATAAACAATCAAACTGATCTAGTTAGAGAACACATAGAGACATTTGTTTTTGTTAAATTTTACATTGTTAAAAAGCGTATTGTATGTGCTACAGATACGTTCTAAAGTTCTGTGTATGAAATCTGTGATGTCACACATTTAACTCAAGCTTTCCTTTTTGAATAAAAGCAATGAATGAACACTTCTGGGTTTATAATGCTTATATTTCTTTGCAGCTTTTGTTATGTTTCTGGAGACTCATATGCTGCGTTTCTCCTGACTGGCAAGATGAATCTCAAAATAGAAGTTGTCCCTTCTGGGCAAATCACCTAGATTAATCAAAAACAAACTTATCAAGCAGTGTTGCCAAGTATGTGCTGGCTATTGTAACCGCTAGAAATGTCTGACAAGTTTTCTTAAAGAATAGGGGTGTGCATATTAGAAAACTGGCTGCTGCTGCTCTAGGTACTTCTAAATTTTCAAGGCAATTAAATTAGTGACGAAGTTTATTAGAAATAAGAGTACTGCAGCTGCAGTTAAAATGTTTTTATTTTTCCTTTCAAGATTGGTCATAATTTACTACAAAAGGAGCATAACCAACTGTAATGGAAATTGTGGAAAACATGGACTGAGCGGAAGTGTTTGTGCTGTTTATTTTGTATTCAGACATTTATTTATATCCTAGCAATTTTAAACTTGATGAGATGAGTCATAATTAGTGTGGGGACAAAAATTGTATTATTACATTTCAATATTTGTCCTAGAGTAAGCCATTCATTTGGATATTAGTTTATAAAAGTGACTGAAAAACATTAGATAATCTGTTACATATGTCACATATGTCATTTTGTGTGGACAGCAACATTTTGTTTCGGATTTAGATTACTTAGACGACACAATTAAAGCTTTGCAAGTGCAGTGCTACAGTACTTATCTGAAAGTGGTGGAGAATTTCAGTCTGAACCTCAGTAAGACAAGCATATCTTTTGTTTATCTAGCATGAATATTTTGTGTCAGATATACTGTAGGTTAAAGTTCTTTTGGTTATTGGTATATGTTTCTCAGTACTGCTTAAGTACTGCTTAATATCCCATGACATTTTACATTAAAGGCTGAAATAATGTAGAGACAAAGGTAGTTTCCATTTTTGTGCAGGGTTACCCATTGCAGTTTTGTCTGCCTCTGCCTAAAGTATTTTACCAATTAAATTATGTTCATCTTTTTACATAGAGTTCTAATACTTAGCCTACATTTTCACAACAGCAGCTGCTATTGTGTATGTTTTTAACATGGATTCAGTACCTCAGCCAAGGGATGAACTGGAGTCATTGCAGCCATTTGAGAATGCTGTATTTGTGTCGGTGCAGTTATATAAAATTTCCCCTTACTAGCAATCACACATTGCAAGGATCGTTTGCTGAACTTTTAATTTCCTGTCTTGACTTTTATTGAGTCCTGTGGTTTCCAAACCTTCCACTAAAGGAAAGTGGCCTTGAATATATCTGCTGATCACTGTTCATTATAAACTCCTGCTGTTCTGCTTTTCAGTAGGGTATACTAATACTTAGAGGGGAGAAGAACCAAACCCGGTGAAGTCCATTTTCTGCTTGGTTAAGAATTTGATAGTTTATTTGTTTACATTTAAACAAAAGTAAAATATCATTCGTTTGATGGTCCTTTGACTGGTTTGCAAATGAGTGCTGTGGGAGTGCCTGAAGAACTGTAATTCTAGGCAGGAAGGCTGAATGCATTGCATCCATTGTGGGGAAACAGCACACCTGTTTCTCATATCCAAAACTGTTATCTGCCTCAAGCGTACTACACATTTAATACTTTAAAATATTGTTTAAACCAGTAATCTGCACCAGTAATCTGTGGTGTACAGCACACTGGAACAACCCCTACAGCCCAGCTTTGTGAGAAAATCCACAAAATCCAGATCCTGAAAGAAAAGGTTCACCTTCTGGACACTGTAGAATGAATTGTTACTGTATAGTGTGCTTTGAAAAATATTTTTCAAAACTAAAGTTCACCATTTATGGAAATGGTGAAGGAATGAGATGCAAGTTAAGAAAACAAAAATGGGATGTGATATGAAACCAATGGATGGCAACAGTTTAAACAGATTCTACTTGAAGCACACAAATACTTTATCCCAGAAGTAAACAAATCAAAAGCGGAATTCAAAATGGGGACTAAACTACTGATTTATACTGTGCTGTAAATTATCTGGATTATAATCTAAAGGATTATACTGTACTCTTTATATAATTCAACAGCCTAACACGGTAAAGTGTTCTTTTTTTCTAAAGGATAAGGTAAGTGTGTTTGATTTGTATGGCTAATACTCTAATATCATCAGACTGAATCGGTTCATAACGATACATGGTTTTATCTGAAAGCTAAGACCAAAACTTGGGGTAGAGAGTAATCAGGTGCAAATGGAGGACACCATTAAAAAAACTGACAAGGACTTTCTGCATCTCTGACAGTAGTCCTGGTATGCTGATGTGAATTTTTATTTTGATACTGTATGTTGTTTTTATGCCTGTGATTTTATTGTGTGGTGTAGTATCTATGAAGGAGTAATGACCATGTTTTTAGTCTAATTTAGGTAAAGCTTAAATGTTTAATATTGTAATGCTAATAAAGGCTATTGGTCTGTTATCCATATCTGTAACGTATGTGCTTCTTTGTTCTTGTAGTGTTTGCCAGGAGTACTTTCTAGACGGTGGAATGAAGAAAATGTTGGAAAAGGATGAGAAAAGAGCTCGTCTTGCAATTGCTATGAGTGCTACACCTCTTAATGCACACTGGAACAGTGCACCGCAGAAGTAAGTGCTCTTCACATGATTCCCCGCCTTTCACAATTAAAAGAGCTTTTGTTTCTTATGCAGTTTATCATTGCGTAATTCAACCCATATATATTCATAGGCAGTAATAAAAGCCAGTATTAGCTCTTTAAAGTGTGGTCTAAATTAAGGGTCTTCAACCCTGGTTTTGGAGGGTCCAATCCCACAGGTTTTGTAGGTCTCCATTAAATCATCCAGTTATACAGATCTGGGACACTTTCATTGTAAATAAGCAGGTAATTTGTTAAAAATATGTAATTTATGAACCGTTTGGGCCTGAGGTCTTAAGTACTGTTCAGCCTTCTAGTTCTCAAGGATCTTTTTTTCATTTTTAATTGAACAGATTACTTGATTCAATCAAAGAGGACTTGCGGGTGTTCAGGTGTAAATACAAGATTAACCAGATTGTAGTTCCAGGACCAGGGCTGGAGATTTTATTGAAATTGAAAATTGAAATTCAATTGCTGAAAGAATTAATTTACATTTTTTTTATTCAAATAAAAAAACACAAATGTATTGTTTACCTGAACAACCTGTGAACTTTAAACATATGTAATGTTTCTTATTTCATGTAGTAGCTTATTTCTTTACTTTTGGATACCTAAAGTCAAAATTAATAAGGTTACTTTTAATGGACAGACTGGTTGTCTGCATTAGACTTAAATATTTAGAAATTCAACATCAACAAACAAAACCAGTTGAGCTGAGTCTTAGCAAGTACAGTTTGTCATAGAATGCAGACCTTGAGTAGGAAATACAGAAACATCAGTATTGAAATTAAGAAACATAGTGTGTATGCATGCCAGTAATGCTTTTGAGTTGTTTTTGCATATTTGTCTTCATCATTACATGATGCCACTCAGACGCTTTTGAGTTACAGTTTAATAATTACTTTCAGCATGCATTGGAACATTTCCTTTGAGTTACTCTTCTCGTCTTTGAAATATGATGACAAGATGTCATTTTTTTCAGATGGATTTATTCTGAGCCTCACTTATGATCTTCATGCACAAAGAAATCAAACAATTAAAGCATCACTGTATACAGAAGCTGTTTGATTATACTAATCATGGACTATAATTAGCCTCTGTGGCAGTGGACTGTGTTGATGCCTTTATGTATTAACTCTTTCAAACCAGCCTTAGTCATATGTAAAGTGGTGGAAATCCAAAAGCATGATTTACTTGTCTGCATCACGCATACCAATAGCTAACACGTTTTAGAAACTCCTCTATAAATAGCATTGTTGAATTGAAAGTAACTGTCAGGTTTCTCGCATTTGGTTTAGGACAAAATGACTTATTTCATAGAAATATTTTGATCTTGGGTAACTTTTAAAGATTAAATTGGTTTTAAGCCAGAAACCTGTTCATTCAAAATGTTTTCTGAAATGAAACTGAGGGACCTTTCCAGGTGCCGAGTATACAAGCACAAGTACACATCTGTACTGTACATCAAGATGGACGGTTGTTCCTACCGTGCAGGCCCTTCCCCCAAGGCTAGTACAATACTGATTCCATTCCATATGTCTCTTCATTTGTGGTTTACTTTTTAACTTTTTCCTCTGCTTTTGCAAGAAGACAAGGTGTTAATCTTGGCTCATAATTAAAATCTTTCAGCTGCCTGTATTTGCAATTTTTATTGGTCCATCAACTGTTATTCACTCAAGCAACCTGAATTGATTACCCTCATTTTTTGTAAATTTGCTCTGTATATTGTTAAATAACCACTAGATCTCCTTTGTTCAATTTGGAGGGGTTTTGAACTGGAATGAAGTCCACTGTGTAGATATGGCTGGATCTGTAAATACATGGACAGATACACTCAGTTGTGTGAAGTGCAAAAGAGGATTTCTGTTCAAAGCCTTGAAGAAGTTTCACATAGACTGAAGTCTTTGAGGGCTGGTGATGCACAATCACCTCAAAAGCCAAAAAATAAAAAGTCCTTTTTAACTGCTTCCGGGTGTTTAATTTGGCAGTAGGTTCAGACAGGATGGCAATTATTGTCTGAACTACATTCCCCAGAAAGCTGTGGGAATGACCAGTTGAAGGAAGACAATTGGTCATGTGCCATTTTAAAATGGGTAACAGGCTTCCTGCATTTGAATGGGATGTCTGGGAAAGAGGTCTGTTATGAGATGCATCAGAGGGAGAGAGAGAAGGAAGTGTCCATCCTACAGGCCGTTTGTGGAACTGTGATTTTGTGAAAGTTGTGTTTTGGGATTTTTGTGTAGGTATACACTTTGCTACCTGGCTATTTATAGAGAGGGACAAACACATGTAGTATTGTAGGTGGAGCTCAAAGATGATCTTGGGATTTTGATTTGTGTCTCGGAGTATAATAAACATGTGTTGTACTGAATGACTAAAACGCACAATTTTTTACCTTACGTCTTTGTATGGGTGTCCTGGGATGTTGGTTTCTCTTCAGATGATACTTTTTGCCTGTTGAAATATCACTACTACATCACCCCATCCCCTGGCATGCTACAGACATCAGTGTTCTCATCTTTGAGATGAAGTGTTCTCATCTTTCCTGAAGTCCTCCTAGTGAGCACCAGTTCTGATGTCCACCCACTCTTGGGTTTGAGCTCAAGCCCGGGTTGCTTGATATCTCCCAGAGGTAAGGTTAAGACCTCCAGAGTGATGTGTCTAACAGTCAGAACAGGATGAGTCTAGCAGAAATGCAGAGTCGGTGATTTCCCCCATAACACTGTTTTATCCTCATTGGTTGTATTGTCTTAATGCAAAATACGGTATATATGCCATAATTCCCTTTGCCATTTTAATTCCTATATTAAATTCTGTGCTTGATTTTTTAAATGGAATCTGTGCTTCCCTTTATAATGTAGTGATGTAGCGTAGAAATAAAGGAAAGTGATTTATTTTAATAACCACACAATAGTTTCAGTGCTTAAACATTTATTCCAGTATTCCAAATGATTGTTTTCTGATTTCTGTTTATGACAGATGTTACATTTTGTCACTATTGAGTGTATAGCTGTTATTGCAAATTTTTTTGTATCACTTCACTATTGATTTCAGTACCTGAGGGTCTTGTATCTCATAATTGCTCCTCTTGTGGACCACTACAGTTCAATTTCATGGCCTGCTGTTATACTTGAGGAAAAAGCAGACTAATATGCACCAATGATAGGTCATTTATATTGCACATCATACACTCTGATACAAAGGGACATCAAAATACAGTAAATGCTGCTATTATGAGAGAATGTGAAGTCCAGCCCTGATACAGTATTTGCAATTTTTGCTGTGACAAATTAAAAGGCTGAATTTTCTTATAATGTCCTGCCATATTCAGTAGGTATAGCATATTTTCTTTAGTGCTTAAAAAAGAGATGTTATATTTAGCTGCCCAGTAGTTATTAGCTGGAAGTAACGGGTACTTGGAATTGTGCCAGGTTTCTGTAGCGCACTCTATCCAGCATCGCATGAACAAACTGAGCTACATAGTGCATCAAGCTGGACGACTGCTTGAATCTCCTCATGCAGAATTCAAGGGAGAGATTCAAAATGACACTGCCAGAATATAAAGAAAAGCATTTAAGGTGGAACTGGGGCAGCTCAGTGCTTGGTTAACAACATTTTAAAACCTGGAACGGTGAAGGGCCTTTAATTTGCAAAAGCCCTCAAGAAACTCAGAAAACAGTACAGAAGAGTCCCTGATGTAGGCCTGCAGTGCAGACTAATGTCAGCTCGTACAGTACCTCCCTGTCAGTCACCCCCTGTCTGCCCCTGAGCTCGTGTAGTAACCTTAGAGTAACCAGTGCTTGTATTGAGGGGAAACGGCTTTCCTTTTGTTGTAAGAAGCAAACTCTATTGTAAAATGAAGCATTTTCTTCTTGAAAGAAATACAAATAAATTGATCCCCTCATAAAAACACATTGAAGTAGGAAAAACATCTCATCCCTGCCCACTCTTCTCCAGAAGCATGAATCTTTCAAAGGGGCTCCCTGGGGCTTCTTATACTTTCCCAGCTAGAATGCTGGGAATACCTACAGTATAAGTACACTTCTTTCAAATTGTATGTTTCATTGTGTAGTATTTCTCAGACACGAAGGGGTTTTTAATTCATATACTTATGAGGTTAGAAATTCAAGAGTAATTCACTCTTGTGGCTGCTTGGCGACATGGTTCACTCTGCTGCCACACAGCTCTTGGGTTCTGACCCTTGTGTCAGGGTTGTAAGGTCTCCCCAGGTCTGTTAGAGGCCTGCTACCTGACCCAAGCCCGATGGGGCGCAACAAAGTATTGGGTTTTGGGCTGGGTTCGGGTCAGTTTTTCACATACAACTTCTGCTCGGGCCAGGTTCAGGTTTGTTTTCAAATAAGTGAAACTCATTTAATAAATTACTAATTTTGCGTGCTCGCTCGCTCGTTCTCTCTCATACTGTATGTGTGTAACAGAGCCTACCTAGCTAACTGTTCGCAATGGATGAAACAAAAAGACAACGCGCAAACTTTGCTTATAGCATTAGCTTTTTTAGTAGGCTTATTACGGTTCCCCACTTTCAAAAGTATTACAGATTTCGAAAATACCAGTTTTTCTCAGCGCACAGCATTTTCAATCAACTGAAGCGGATAGCAGCCGAGCAAAGCATTGTAAAACCGCGTCTGTGAGAACCTGTCTCTGTGTGTGTGCATGCATGCCTAATCGCTCTGAGAGGAAAAGAGTGACCGATTTCAGGTTCGGGTTTCAAATTTGACAGTACTATTCGGGCTCGGTCGGGTCTCAAGGTCTCGGGTACAGGCCGGGTTCGGGCTTCAATTTCATGCCCGTGCAGATCTTTACTCCCCATGTCTGTATGGGATTTCTCTAGGACCCACGCTTTCCTTTCAGTCTAAAGACATCCTCTCCTGTATGAATGAGTCAGAGAATGCTTATGTATCTGTCCATTAATAATTGGATGTTCCCTGCCCGGACTCTCTAAGAGCAAAATATTTGATATAGGAGGGAAGGTGAATGGATTTTAATGTTGTTTAAATACTTTTAATACTTTTTTTAAAATTGAAGTCTTCCAGCAATAGTGAAAATCCATGTTCTTGCTGCTTCTGTCGACAGTAAAATATATACCAAATCAGTATCCATGTGTCAAAGTACTATTGTACCAGCTGTTCAGTTTAACTTTTAGGTGAATTCAACTTTTATCTCAAGGTCTTTTTCATTGAAACCTTTTACCTAGCAGTGACAAATTGTCTGTCCATAGGGGTTTAAGAACTGCTGTTTAGCGATGTGAGTCCCCTTGTGAATGTTAATACTGTTGGTTTATGTATGCACTTGTGTATTCTAATGGTACTGATCCTTCTCTGCGGCTTCTGTGTGTGCTGTCTCCAAGGACACCTCTGAAGCTATTATAGTTTCCTCTTAACTCTCCCTATATTTTTCTTTTAAATAACAGAAGTGTTGAAGTGCTAAATGTATGTATTTTCTAGTGGTATTGAAATTCTGAAGTAATAGTTTACATAAGTGACTAACTTATGCATAACTGCATTGGAGGTTTTCAGTCTCAAGAAGTCTGACTGTCACTCCATCATTGTACAGAAAAGCAGTCCATCAGTAAAGAATCGTAAAATTGTTTCTGCGACAATGTGTTAAACTTTTAATGAAATTTGCAGTGGGGAGTTGTTCAAGCATACATAGGCAAAATTAATATCAGATAGTTCAATTCTGGGTGGCATGGTGGTTAGTATTGGTTAGCATTATTATTATTATTATCATCATTATTATTATTATATTATTGCTGCCTCACAGCACTTGGGCCCTGGGTTTATCTCTGACCCAAGGTCTACGTGGAATTTGTAGGTTATCACTGTGTTCATGTGGGTGTCCTCCTACAGTCCAAACAAATACTGTATAGTAAGTTAATTGGCTTCTGGGAAAATTGACCCTAGGTGTGAGTGTGTGCTTGTGTGTGTGTGCTCTGTGACGGACTGGTGTCCCACCCAGGATGTACTTTGCCTTGTGCCCATTGCTTGCCAGGGGTAACCTTCAGCTTACCCACGACCCGAAATTGGAAGAATCAATTAGAAAATTGATATTTCTGTTCTAAATTACATTCACTACAATAAGCAAAGATTGGAAATTAAAATCTATATAAGAGGGGTTTTAGGTATTTTTCTGACCTAAGTGAATATTATGGCTGTGCTACTTTCATGCATTTTTTTGTTAGCTCATTCTGTGAATTAATACATTGTGTTCTGGATTTGCTGCTTGTGTCCCCATAGACTACTTTTAACAAAACTTCTGCTAGATTCCTGAATCCTAGAGCACTAATACTGGAGATGCAGACCCAGACTTATTAAAAGGGAGTATAAATTGTACTGTGGGATAAACTGCACAGCAAGTCATAACTCAAACCTGTAATGACTCTGCTGCAACTGAAGTAGTCAGTGGAGCCCAGTTAGTACCCCTCCTAGACTTTTTGAAGTATGCTTAAAATGTACAGGTCTAATGAGATGCGTAAATATATATATATAATTTATTTAAATGTAATAGCTCACTGTAGTGATGAATGAAAACAAGGGCCATGCTTTTATGGTTAATGTCTAAGAGATGGTAAGAGTTTTCTGTGCTGAAGCTACGTATTAGTTATTTAAGTTATATACTGCATTTAAAATAAAAGTTGTGTGAATAGTGAATACAGTTACAGTAAAAAAGTTGAATGCCTCCGTGTTCTAAAATTTTAAAACTTCAGTGTTTGCTTAAAAGATTTTTTATCTCCTGTTCTTTGTCAATAGTACTGTTAATGACAGTGTTTAAGTCACATCTTGTTGCAGATTGGAGAAATGTTAGTTTCTAAACATTATATTATTTAAACATAGCAGCACAAATCTCTTAAGTTTTAAAGAGGAAAGAGAGCCTCTCACGTCTGCTCTTCTGCTGACTTGCTTTGCCTATCAGTTCTGTCAAAGGTGCTGCACAATATCACAGATTCTAAAATATCTAGTGTGATAGCAACTTACTTTTCTGTGTGATTCCACGCCTTTTGGTAAAACGGTAAACCGAATTTTTTTTAGCCATTGCAAAGATGAAGACAGAAACCACTGTGGCACTATCCTTGACAAAGAAGGAATCTTGCTGGAGACATCGGAACCATCATGGTAAAAGT